CTCCAGACCATACCATTTCAGGCTACGAGTGAGGAAGGCACAGGTTTAAACAATTGGGGAGCAAGTGGCGCTGTGGTCTAAACCAGTGTTCCCAACCCCCGGTCCGCGGCCCGGTGCCGGTCCGTGGATCAATCGGCACCGGGCCACCCGAGGAACTTCAAATCATTTCACTGTGGCGGGCAGCCGAGGCGCAGAGCATTGCGCCCTCTCAAGCCCGCCCATTGTGTGACAATAGCGAATGAAAATTCGCTATTGTTACACTGATGCTCCTCCTGGCCAATCAGGGAGCGGGTCCTCCCGCTTCCTGATTGGCTGAAAGGCAAACCTCACGCCATTGGCTGAGGAGGAGGCGCCATGGGAGGACTGAGGACTCGAGGTCGGAGAAGGGAAGCTGCCGTGAGGTAAGTGCACGGAGGGGGGGACTCAGCTCAAAACAAGCGGGCCACGGAAAAATTATCAAACGTTTACCGGTCCGCGGCGATAAAAAGGTTGGGGAGCACTGGTCTAAACCACTGAGCCTTTTGGACTTGCTGATCAGAAGGTTGGCTGTTCAAATCCCCGTGAGGGGGTGAGCTCCTGTTGCTCTGTCCCTGCTCCTGCCAACCTAGCAGTTTGAAAGTACGCTAGTGCAAGTAGATAAGTAGGTATCACTGCGGTGGGAAGGTAAACGGCGTTTCCATGCACTCTGGCTTCCGTCACGGTGTTTTGTTGTGCCAGTAGCGGTTTAGTCATGCTGGCCACATGACCCGGAAAGCTGTCTGTGGACAAACACCGGCTCCCTCGGCCTGAAAGCAAGATAAGCACCGCAACCCCATAGTCGCCTTTGCCTAGACTTAACCATCCAGGGGTCCTTTACCTTCATACCTTGTTTGAACAATTGCTTATGATAAACCTTCCTGAACAATGGCAGGGGGCGGAATGTCTGAAAGTCATATCAAAATTTTTCCCTATCCAACTACTTTCAAATGTGTGAGGTTTTTGTGTAGACCCTTGAAAAGGGGGAAGAAGAGTCCACTACCTCCCAAGGGAGACGGTCAGAAATTAATGTTTAGTCAGAATGTCTTTTCTTGTTCACTTGAAGCCATTGGTTTGAGCCCTTTTCTCCAGAGCTTGTTCCCTTCCCTCTTCCATGTGACAGCCCTTGAGATATTTGAAGATGGCTCTCACATCTCTTCTCAGTCTCTTTCCCAGGCTAAACATACCGAGCTCCTTCAACAGTTCCTCATAAGGTTTAGTTTCCATACCCCTGATCTTCGTGGTCTCCCTCCTCTGCACATGTTCCAGCTTGTCAATATCCTTCTCCCCTGCAGCCTGAAGTGGCGCAGTCCAAGAAAAAGCTTTGTCCTTTGATGTATGGTAGCTGAATGGATATACTGGTCCCAAATCTGCCCTGAATAGAGGAGTCAGCTCAGAATACATGCAGGGGCCAGCTCAGGATCACTAAGAACTAACAGCTCTCTGTTTTAAGCAGGTGCTCAGCATCTGCTAAGCAACAATCAAAAACCAATATGCCTCCATCCTGGGAAAATGTAAAAGCTGCATTAAAGGTGTTGCAGTAAGGAACGGCATCCTTTAAAAAGGCAATGCTTGTTTCTGATAAGGTGGATAACATCATAGCAGTCTATCTTGTTATCGCCATTCATCTGATATGCTTTCAGTCAGTGTTTGATGTTGGCATCCGATGTGAAACACTGGCGTAAAGATGTCCTTAGACTTTCCCTCCCCCTCCCCCGAGATCAAGCTAGCTTCACCTGGTTTTTAAATAATAATAATAATAATAATAATAATAATAATAATAATAATAATAATAATATTTATAGCCTGCCCATCTGGCTGGGTTGCCCCAGCCACCCTAGCAAACAATATATTCAAGAACAGGAGGCACCATCTATTTTGCAAGATGACAGTTTAACATGAATCTTGCCACCATCGGTGGCATAATGCGTTATCAGTGGGGGGAAATTATTTTTTAAAGCCACTTATTTAAGAATAGAACACCAGACGTAGTTCAGATGTACACAAATGTATAATCAAACCTTTCTCCTACACAGGACATTCTAAAGCAGTCTAAACAATGTATAAAAGACCACCTAAGAAGCTGGGAGCAGCGGTATCCAAAAAATCTGGTGGGGCAGGGAGAGGTCTATCGACCATCCTGGTAGTTCAAGAGACCTTCCAACTGACCCATACTTTTTAATGAAAGCTGTGCTATGCTCTTTCCTTGTGTGTGTGTGTGTGTCTTTCTCTTAAAAAGCATCTTAAATGACAACAGACAAAAATCACTTCTGAAAGAACCTCAAACAGCTGTCTATACAGTGGTACCTTGGGTTACAAACACCTTGGGTTACAAACACTTCAGGTTACAGATTCTGCTAACCCAGAAATAGTACCTCGGGTTAAGAAATTTACCTCAGGATGAGAACAGAAATCACGCGGAAGCGGCGTGGCGGTAGTAGGAGGCCCCATTAGCCAAAGTGGTACCTCAGGTTAAGAACGGTTTCAGGTTAAAAACGGACCTCCGGAACGAATTAAGTTCATAACCAGAGGTACCACTGTACATTTGTTCATTCACAGCCAAGAAGACATCAGTGTCCGGCTGCTTCAAATCACGGTACAAAATTATTTCATCAGCAGATTGTCCAGTAATGTTATGTGCAAATATCATTTCATCTGCAGACCATCCAACAATGAAATGTGAAAAAATAAGGCAGATTCTCAACGGCTGTAGAATCACTGAATTAAATTATCCCATTTGATAAATTCCCTTCCGCTGTGCTGGAAAGGTCTAAGTGTGAAATTGCCCTCTGAATCCAAGGCTCCCTACTGATGCTTCCTACAGTGGTCAGAAGTGGTGGAACCTGTATACACTCATTTTGGGTCAGCCAACCTAAAAAATAGTGTTAAATCAGCTCCCTCCCTGTTTGATTTGGACATGGCTCACAAAGAATGGTTATTTTTTTAAAACACACCCAGAAAAAATAATAATCCGTTCTATAAAGAAGGATAGAACTTTGTTTATGTATGCTACTACAGCAGCAAGAATTCTCATTGCAAAGCACTGGAAGACACCAGATTTACCCACGCTGGAAGAATGGCAGACGCAGTTGATGGACTACATGGAACTGGCTGAAATGACTGGCAGAATCCGTGATTTGGGAGAAGAAATAATGGAGGAGGACTGGAAAAAATTTAAGGACTATCTGCAAAAACATTATAAGTTGTATGAATGTTAAGAATGTGTATGATTAGGAAACTTTTGCTTCAGCAACTTGAATAGGTGAATTGGAAATTAAGTTATAAGAAAGATGAGGTAGACAACATGAAGTAACCATACTATGTTTATTTATAGGGTACAAATAACTGAGATACAGTATTTTAAATTTGGAAACATAGTATTTGAAAGATACAGTAAGACATGAAATAAGGTAACAAATTGCTGATGTTACAATTGCAAAGAACGCAGAATTCGGAAGATGTGGGGAAGTCCGATTGGAATTGTTAAAGTATTTTGGAAAGTTGGAATTTATGTATACTTTCTTTTTCTTACTTTTACTTTCTACTTTTTATTCTGTAAATTTCTGAATATCTGAAAGAAAACTTAATAAAATATTTTTTTAAAAAAAGGGAAAAAAATCCGTTCTGAAACGCCTTATGATGTTGAGCATTACAACAAAACGAAACTAGTCCCAGAAGCACTTTTAATTTCTCTCGTTCCATGCTTTGCTGCCTGCCAATAGTGCCAAGAACCAATGCCCATTGCCCAACTCATTAAAAAGAGACTGGTTACTGTTAGCAGTCTCCAATAGTGTGACAGTCGCCATACACACACACACAATGCTGGAGGAGACTCTTGAGAGTCCCATGGACTGCAAGAAGATCAAACCTATCCATTCTGAAGGAAATCAGCCCTGAGTTGCTCACTGGAAGGACAGATCCTGAAGCTGAGGCTCCAATACTTTGGCCACCTCATGAGAAGAGAAGACTCCCTGGAAAAGACCCTGATGTTGGGAAAGATTGAGGGCACAAGGAGAAGGGGACAACAGAGGACGAGATGGTTGGACAGTGTTCTCGAAGCTACTAACATGAGTTTGACCAAACTGTGGGAGGTAGTGGAAGACAGGAGTGCCTGGCGTGCTCTGCTCCATGGGGTCATGAAGAGTCGGACACGACTAAACAACAACATATACCCAACACATTTTACATATACTTTTGAGGTTTTTTTAAGAATCACAAAACATACTTCTAATTACTAAATGGATGTTACCTTAACTTCAGCTAAAGTTGGGGATGGATGGATCAATCAATCAATCAATCAATCAGTCAGTCACTGTCAGTTTCACCTGTGATCATCCATTCCCCCTATTCATATGCGGGCTGTTGTTTTTTAATACAAAAATAGCATTTAAATACATATTTTTCACAATGTATGAACGTCTAACCCTGCCCCCTCTAAACTAGGCATTCTCATCCACATTTTTTTGAGTGTTACAAAACTGGAAGAAGTGCGAAATCCAATGGATGACTCTATTTTGCTCTGGATGTTACTGTGGGAGGTCTGCATCATATTGGAACGTGGCAAATAATTAATTCTGCAAGCATCCCTTGCTGCTTGGTATAGAATGCAGAAGCACTCGAAATTAAAGCATTTAAAATATTTTTTAAAACAAGGTTGTAATTAAAAAAATAAGCTTGTAAAGTCGCTTTATTCTGCACCCTAAGGAACGACCTCGCTTTGCAGAAGTGGTCCGCTTCCCAGAAGTTCTCATCGTTTCCCCTGCTTGGGTGTGTAGCTTGTGATCCCAGAGAACATTTTCTTGACTCCAAGTTTTAAACTACTTGGCCTAAGTATTTTTGTAACATTTTCCATCTCCAGCACGTGCCAAGAATCTGTGAATGGCAAAGGCCAATATAAAAACCACCCACGTTTCTAACCAGCGCATGGCAAAATGTGCTGTTTCTTAATACCCTTCAGTGCGTCCCGGTGCCACACTCTCACTGACCTGAGGAGGTGGACTGGAGTCAAGTCTTGTGACACAAACCACAAATCGGTCAGGAAACACTCGCAGCTCTGCAAAAGAAGGAAGCACAGGGATGTTGTGTGTATCTTTGCCCCACACATACTAACAAGCTTAGACGGCCCTCTCTAAGCTGCCTCATCCCTTAAGATTTTAAACACGCAGCACTTTTTTCAACTGGCATCTACGCTAATGGCATTACTTACTCCTCTTGACAGACAAGAGCACCCAAACTGCATAAGCCTCATGGAAATATGCTGAAGTCAATCGCTAGAACTGAAGAAACCCCCCCCAAAAAACCCAAACCACAAGGTTTTGCCACACACAGAGGACAGAAAAAAAAATATTACACTTCTATTTATTTGCACCTTGCCCAAACATTTTTTTTTCTTTTTGGGAATATGTTTTATTGGGATTTAAAGATCTACACATCATGCAGCACAGAAGCAAAAAAAAAAAGAAAAAGTCTGAATTAGGTTTTCTTTTCTTTTTCTTTCTGTCACAAGATGAGAAGATAGAGTATGACACTAATGATATTCATGCAGGTAGAGTCAGTCCATCATGTTGTCATAAATCTGCTGTTTTATTTTTTATTTTTTACCAAAATATGTTTTAATGACACAGCTTTGCCTTTGACTTTCAGACTATTTTTTCACTTAATTTTACAAGTGTAGAGTTGTAACAATAACCAAATACATATCCAGATTTAGATATTTCTCTGAATCTTGAGACTTCCCACCATCCCCTCCATGGGTCCTGTTATCAACTTTTTCAACTGCATATTATTTCATAATCCATATTTGATACCTCTCCGTATTATCCAGGATTAAAAATCCTGCTAATGTTTTCATCTGCTTACAATGGCCTCCTAAATAAATTATAAATTATAAAATTTTCCCATTCTTCATTCATGTTTTTGTCTTCTTGGTTCCTAGGCTTCCTGGTCAATTTGGTCATTTCGGTGTAGTCCAACAGCTTGATTCGCCATACCTCTCTTGCAGGGAGTTTGTCTTCTCTCCAATTGCCTAATCATTTCTTAACCCATATCATAACACATGGCATGGAAACTGGACTCCGTGAGCTAGTTGTGGCATTGTGAGAATAGAATGAATGTACCCTTTTTTTTATCAAACCTATCCATTCTTAAGGAAACCAGCCCTGAGTGCTCACTGGAAGGACAGATCCTGAAGCTGAGGCTCCAATACTTTGGCCACCTCATGAGAAGAGAAGACTCCCTGGAAAAGACCCTGGTGCTGGGAAAGATGGAGGGCACAAGGAGAAGGGGATGACAGGGGATGAGATGGTTGGACAGTGTTCTCGAAGCTACTAACATGAGTTTGACCAAACTGTGGGAGGCAGTGGAAGACAGGAGTGCCTGGCGTGCTCTGGTCCATGGGGTCACGGACATGACTTAACAACTAAACAACAACAACAACATAAAAACAACTATAGATAACATGCATCCTACATTGCATTCCTTTATCATTCTCATTCCTTTGCTTATATTTCAAGTCCCTGCCTGGAATTTCATCTGATCATAGTATTTTCTCAGATAGCCCGTGGAAGACAGGAGTGCCTGGCGTGCTCTGGTCCATGGGATCACGAAGAGTCGGACATGACTAAACAACAACAACACCCCTTTTTGTTATTCAAATAGTAGCTGTGGGGATGGGGAGATGCTCTCGCTCTCTCTCTCTCTCTCTCTCTCTGTAGTCCTGAGAGAAACAGCATCTCTGAAATTGCCATTTGCTCATATGTGATGGACTTGGAAAACAAAAAAAAAAGTCACAGGCTTTTGGGGAATGATACATAATGAGTCCAAAACACCTGGAGGGCCGAGTTTGGGGATGCCTGCAGTAGATAAAGGATTTGAACAGAACATCATGGAAGTAAGGATGGGAAGTCAAAATGTTAAGGAAAGATTGTACTGAAACATAATTGAATTCTTATCCCCCCCCCACATGCCCCCAAAGTGAAGAACTAGACTGATGCATTTATTTATTTTAAAAACTAAGCACTGCTATAAGAGTAAACATCCAGTGTTTAAAAAAATGTAGCATTAATTTAAAGACGAACATGATTCAAGCAGGGATTTTAGACTAACTCTTAAAAATCCTGAGAGTGATGTTATTTCTGGCAGCGTAAGATTTGATGTCATATCCTCCTATTGCTCCTTGGCTTGGGGAAACATGAAGAGAGACCAGGTCCAATGACATCACCTAGAATCGGTTTTCTACAAGCAGGCCGGGCAACAGCCCTTCCTTGCATGGGCTTGTACCACCCTTTGACAACAGGCCTGACTCACAGAGCAAACTCCACTGATTCATAATCTGGAGACTCGGGGAAGAAAGCGCTGAGTCTTGTCCTCGCAGAAATGTGGTGTGTGGCCCAGCCAATTACCCTGACCCGAGTTAAAAGCAAACTTGAAAAAGATTAAGAAGTTAGTTAGCAGTAAAGAACGACAGGACGACAGCCAGATCCTAACGCAAATATTGGCCCTGATTCAGCAGACGGGCTTCCCTAGCAGCTGAAAGACTGTGTTTCAGGGTGCGGCTGAAATGGATCATCAGCACATCAGTGCTTGCTGTTGTGCTTCCAGCAGCTGCAATGTGCTGTCTCCATTCTTCTCGCACGAAAGAATGGCATGTGCACGTGCTGCTGCTGTTTGGTAGCATCCTCCTTCCACCCCACACATAAACATGGGATTGTGTGACATTCAATTGTGTGTGTGGGGGGGGGTACGTATGTGTGTGCCACATGTATTCACCCTGACATGGTCAACACAACCAGAGAAAACATCACTAGTTCAAGCAAGTGAAAGGGAGAGGGCAGTGGGAGGGGTCATTCCACCCCAAATCCCACCCACCCGTTCCAGAATACCACTGAGATTGGGGCCATTCTCTTTGTTTTGTAGTTCTTTTTCGAATTATAAGCTTTGCTCCGAAAAATATATGTTTTTCTATCTAATTTAAACATTTCATGTAACTGATGGTATTGTAACCAATCCGTAACATGGCTCCTTACATTTTCCATTGATTTCAGTTTTGGTCCCCCCTCCCTGTAAAGTACAGCAATTCCCTGTAAGTCGCCTACTGTCTATCCATATTAACTCTCTTAAAAATAATAGCCTTGATAGGAGATAGCCATAAAGGTGTTTTCCTTTCCAGCAGATTTTTATATTTCTCCCAAAATCGATACACATTCTTCCTAAGAATATGGTTCATAAAACTTTTATAAATTTTTGCCTTCCCATGCCAAAGACATGCATGCCAGCCGAATGGCCTTCTAAGTTCAGGATGCCTGCATTCTCCAGTGTAATCCATTCTTTTAACCCACACAAACAGACTGCCTCATAATACATTTGCTGGTCTGGCCATTCTGTAAATAAACCTGTCCTGCCATCACTTGCTTTCTCCAAAGTGTTAAACAAACAGCTTACCGCCATGCTTCCGACCCATAATACATTGAAGATTCGTCCATCTTTTGACAAAGTAGGCTGAAATGTGAAAGTCGCCAGCTGCAACATAAAAAACAAAAACGAAGACAGCCATCAATAGATTTTTAAAAATTGTTTATAGCCAATGGCCATCACAATATAAGCACAAATCACCAGGGCAGGCTTATTGATCCGCGCTGCTTTCACACAAGTAGCACATGTTATCAGAATATGCCTCTACAAAAATCCAGAGAATAGAAATCCACAAAGTAGACTGTAACTTAATCCTAGCCACCAAACAAGCCTGAATTGAAAACAAAACGAAAATGTATGTTTTGCTGTACGGCTTTAAAGTAGGCCAAAAAGCAGTGAATCCGTCTGCTTCTTTCCTCAAACTGGAAATGTCCCTTGTGGCATCTAAGGATGGCTTGGACAAAGGGATAGCCACTTCTCTATACTATTATATTTCCCCCACTGATAATTTTTCCTCTCTGGTCTCAGATGCTTGGGGAGGCTCAAATGTTTGTTTGCAAAGCATAGTCAAACATCGTTTTGCAGACGGGATACGTTCCGGGGGCCTGTCCGCAAGCTGAAAATGACGCACGTCAAAGCGTCATGTCTGTGCGTGGTGCGATTTAGTGCTTCTGCGCATTATGCAAGCGACGAACCCAGATGTAACCTGTTCCGGTACTTCTGTGTTTGCTGCAGACGTTCGCCGAAGCGGAGGCGGACGCAGAACAAGGTCTGACTGTAGATGCAATTGTTGCGGCAAATGCTCAAGAACCAGCTGTAAGTTGCATTCCTTCCTGCACAGTATATACTACATCCCTGGATAAAATGCAATGGCTTCCATGGCCTTAATTCTTTTGCAAACAGTTTAATCTGAACCAGGTGAATGACACATAGTAAATAATAATAATAATAATAATAATAATAATAGTAGTAGTAGTAGTAAATTTTATTTATATCCCGCCCTCCCCAGGCAAGCTGGGCTCAGGGCGGCTAACAACAATAAAACAGTACAAAAGTACAGCACAAACAAAATCCTGCTTGAATGGACTTTATAGTATTACACTAGAGTGGTACCTCGGGTTAATAACTTAATTCATTCCAGAGGTCCGTTCTTAACCTGAAACTGTTCTTAACCTGAAGCACCACTTTAGCTAATGGGGCCTCCCGCTGCCGCCATCCGATTTCTGTTCTCATCCTGAAGCAAAGTTCTTAAACCGAGGTACTATTTCTGGGTTAGCGGAGTCTGTAACCTGAAGCGTCTGTAACCTGAGGCACCACTGTATTCATATTTTTCAACTGTATTGAAAAGTAAGTAAAGTGGACACTCGGGTTGCGAACATGATCTGTGCGGGATGCACGTTCGCAGTCTGCAACATTCGCAACCCGCAGCGTTCGCAACCTGCGTCTGGGCATGCTGTGATTCGTTGCTCCTGTGCATGCGCAAAACGCACATGCGTGATCGCCGAAACCCGGAAGTAACCCATTCTGGTACTTCTGGGTTTCGTGCGGTCCGCAACCCAAAAAAACGCAACCTGAAGCGTCTGTAACCCAAGGTATGACACTTGCTATAAATCTACCTTCCTTATTTTTTAAATTTTTTTCATAAAAATATTTATTTCAACAAAGTAATAATCATACATAAATAAGAATAAAAATGTGCACCCCGCCACCGAGACCATTCCATTGTAACTATCCAACCTCCCAAAATTTCAATACCTCTTGCGATGGTTTGACCCCTTTCCGTTTTAACAGTACAAATTCTACAAACACCCTCCATATCTCCTCAAAATCATTTCCTCTCCATATTCCCTGTCTTACCTTAATGGCACATTTTAATTTATCATTAATAGCTATATCCCACACCTCTTTACACCACTCTTCCATTTTATATTCTGCTTGCCCCTTCCACTTCCTGGCTATAATAATTCATGCAGCTGTCAATAAATTTGTGAACAAGTCCTCCATAGCCTGCGAACCTTCTACCCCATCGTAAATTAATAATAATGCTACCTGTGGACTTTTGGTCAGCTTTAACCCAGTGATTTCTGTTATCTCCTTAAACACCCTTTGCCAAAGGAATGTACATATTTACACCCCCACCACATGTGAACATAATTCCCGGTTTCCTGGCATCCCCTTCAACATAACACCGAATATTCATTGTTTATTTGATTTAATCTGACTGGTGTTAAATACCACGAATTTATAATGATTTTCTTTTATTCTTATGGACAGCATTTTCTTTCTTTTTTTAGATTTGATTGTTATCATTCACTTTAACACACCAAACAAAAAAGAAAGCAAATTACTATCACCGCCAAACAAAAAAGAAGGGAATTAATACATCAACTAATAGCCTTCGAATCATAAAATAAAAGTGATCTTTTTCTATCGACCAGACTTCCTGTCTATTCCTTATTACAGATTCTGTATCATTTGTTCACTGCCATTACATAACTAGTTTTGTTCAAATTTAATAACCCTTGATCCATTCATAGGTTTTACATCATTCTTACAACTGCTACTGAAATGATCTGAACGCTGCTGATTACCTTAGACTACAATTGATATTTTTCAAATATATTTTAAAAGCTTCCCATTTTGAGATAAATACCTGTTTTGGTTTATTTTATATTTTTTTCCTGACATGCTATGTAATTCCGCATATCCAGCCAATTTTTGAATCCATTCTAATGTTGACGGGACTTTGTCACTTTTCCAATTTGCCGCAACGAGAACTCTTGCTGCAACCGTGGCATATAAGAAGATCTCTTTAACATTTCCGAGGTACATTTCTCCCATATTTCCCCCCAGCTTTGACTATCTGTCTGCCCCGTTGTCTCCTTTTCCCACACCTTCCAAATCTCCTAGTTTATCTCTAGTAAATGCAATGATAAGAAAATAACTGCTGAAAATTGTGGTTGCTTTGCTCCTTCTCCTCCTGTGCTATACTTGGAGCCAAGCCTTGGCATTACAGTGGTACCTCGGGTTAAGTACTTGATTCGTTCCGGAGGTCCGTACTTAACCTGAAACTGTTCTTAACCTGAAGCACCACTTTAGCTAATGGGGCCTCCCGCTGCTGCCGCACCGCCAGAGCACGATTTCTGTTCTCATCCTGAAGCAAAGTTCTTAACCCGAGGTACTATTTCTGGGTTAGTGGAGTCTGTAAACCTGAAGCGTTATGTAACCTGAAGCGTATGTAACCCGAGGTACCATTGTATATCTGAACCTGGTCTTGTGGTTTGTCATCCTCTAAACAAGTGTTTCTTAAACTTGGGTCCCTGGCTGCAGTTGGACTGCAACTCCCATCATCCCTGACCACGGGTCCTCCTTACTAGGGATGATGGGAGTTGTAGTCAACAGCAGCTGGGAACCTAAATCGAGAAATGCTGTTCTAAACAAACTACAAGCTGTAACTAAAGTTTGTTCGTGGCTTACTCCTCATGGCTTTTTTTGTGTGGGGGTGTGTGTAAAATATTGCTGAGTTCCTGGAAGCCCAGCAGGAACAGGGGAAGGAGCGATGTGCTGGTGGTTTCTCACTGTGCACCAGTACTTCTTCATGCAGCGCCTAGTTAAACTAGGGAACTCCTTCATCAGGAGGCTTGCAATGGCCAGTGACTTTGATGGCTTTAAAAGATGAACAAGCAACTTCACAGAGGACAGGACTGGTGGCTACTAGCCATGACGGCTCGGCTCGGCATCCACAGTAGGAAGCAGCAATGGATCTAAATGCCAGTTATTGGACGCAGGTGGTGAGCCACTGAGCCTCTTGGGCTTGCCGATCAGAAGGTTGGCGGTTCGAATCCCCATGACGGGGTGAGCTCCCGTTGCTCTGTCCCAGCTCCTGCCAACCTAGCAGTTTCAAAGCACACCAGTGCAAGTAGATAAATAGGCACCGCTGTGGCGGGAAGGTAAACGGCGTTTCCGTGCGCTCTGTTTTCCATATGATGTCCCGTTGCACCAGATGCAGTTTAGTCATGCTGGCCACATGACCCAGAAAGCTGTCTTCAGACAAATGCCGGCTCCCTCAGCCTGAAAGTGAGGTGAGCGCCGCAACCCCAGTCACCTTTGACTGGACTTAACTGTCCAGCAGTCCTTTACCTTTTTACTTTTTACCTTACATGCAAACCAGGCCGTTGCATTTATTTAAAGACTTGCCCAAACCACATGGGTGAGAGAAGGCACTTTATGTCTTTCCACACTACTCTTTAAAATGCAATAATTAGCAGTTTACCTGCATGGAGCCATCTTAATTCATGATTTACCTGCTATTAGGAACAAGTAGTAATTAAAGATATCCCATGGATCTCTAGTGTTTAGCTCCATGACACACTGACTCATATTTAACTGTTGCTGCGGAGCGGTGTTTTACTGCCGCTCTGCGTGTGACCTCACAAATACATTGGCTCCAAAAGTCACCTTTGTCTAGGGAGGCCAGTTTTGGGGGCTGAATCGGCCATTTGTCACGCTGATGACCTGGTCCAGGAGAGAGATGGGCGAGTGAGAGCCTGTTAATCTGGCTGGCTGTCTCAGCAGCTTTGGACACCATTGCTCACAATATTCCCCTGAACCATTTCAAAAGATTAGGGTTCAGAGATTTTGTATTGCAGCAGGTCCATTTTACATGTGAAGAAATGTAGCTACACATCAGCCTTGAAATCTTACTAACTTGGAGAGGATCTGCAAAGAGGAGTGGGACAAAATACTCCCTGAGATGTGTGAAAACCTGGTGGCCACCTACAAGAAACGTCTGACCTCTGTAATTGCCAAACAAGGGTTTTGCCCACCAAGTACTAAGTCATCTTTTGCAAAAGAATCAAATACTTATTTCACTCGTTATAATGCACATCAATCTCTGACTTTTGTCTTCTGGGTTTCTGGGGGTTGTCCTGTTGTTATTCTGTCCCTCACAGCTACAATAAACCTACCATTAAAATTATGGACTGATCATTTCTTCATCAGAGGGCAAACGGGCAAAGTTAGCAGGGGATCAAATACTTTCACCCCTCACTGTAAGTGGACATGGTGAAACTCAACAGCAAAAAATAAAGAGACCCCAAAAGATGAAA